GGTGTGGTCCGCGTTTTCTTTACACCAAGCAGCTTGCACATATCGGAGAACAACTGGCTTTCATACTGGGTCCCCTGGTCTGAGTGGATGGTATATGGGACACCAAAGCGTGTGATCACTTGTTCCACGATGATGCGCGCAACAGTCGCTGCTTCCATGTTGCGCATGGGGAAACACTCCGTCCATTTAGAGAAGTAATCTGCGACAACTAAGATGTATTTGTTGCCCCTCTCTGTCACCGGTAATTCCCCAAGAATGTCAGTAGCAATGCGCTCCATTGGAGCACCAGACATTGCAATCTTCATTGGCGCTCTCTTGTTTCTCAGTGGAGCTTTACTTCGGCTACACTTATCACATCCGGCAATGTATGCCCTCACATCCTCCTGAAGCCCAGGCCAATAGTATCTTTGTCGAATCTTCCCAAGTGTCTTGCGCACTCCAAGATGCCCTGAGGACTTGTTGTCGTGGCTCATTGCAAGTGTCGTTCGTCTTTCAGACATGGGGAGTATGGCCTGTAATTTCTTTGATTTTTCGGGGCCTTCCCATCTTCGGTAAAGAATACCTTCCAATATCTCCAACGACTTAAACTGTGACCACAGAGATTTCAGTACTCTGCCCTCACCACTTATGTCTGAGAACTCTGGTCGTTTGTTGGCTAATACCCAATCTTTCACCTCCTTAACCTGTGCATCAGCATCTTGTAAGCTGCGTAAAGATCCTAGATCATCCTGGGTAACGTGCGCAACAATATCATTAGAGCTTTGTTTCTCCCATTCTACCGTAAACCCACATTGCTTGCAGGGAATGCGGCTCAACGCATCTGCGTTCCGATGTTGAGTACCCGGACGATGCTCGATCTTCATGTCAAACACACTCAGAGTCTCTAGCCAGCGCGCAATCTGCCCCTCTGGACTTTTGAAGTTCAATAGCCAGCGCAAGGAGCCATGATCAGTGCGCACTGTAAATCTTTTACCATAAAGGTAGTGTTTAAAGTATTTACAGAAGTGCACAACTGCAAGAAGTTCCTTCCTCGTGACGCAATACTGTCTCTCCGCTTTAGTCAAAGTTCGGCTGGCGTATGCAATAGGGCGTTCTTTTCCATCTATGCACTGGGACAGAACAGCTCCTATAGCGAAATTACTGGCGTCTGTGTCCAGGATAAAAGGCTGCGTAAAATCGGGCATGGCTAATATTGGCGCATTACACAGATGAGTCTTAAGACTGTTGAAAGCATCTTGGCACTCTTGTGTCCAGACTAAGGCATTTCCTTTCTCCGTCAGTTTGGTTAAGGGTTTTGCTTTTTCGGCAAACTTCTCTATAAATCTCCTATAGTAACCGCAGATACCTAGGAACGAGCGCACCTCAGATACGTTACAGGGCTCTGGCCAATTTCTAATGGCTTCTACCTTCTCGGGGTCAGTGGCGATTCCGTCTTCCGTGATTACATGACCCAAGTAAAGTACTCTGCGCGAAAAGAGCACGCATTTCTTCGGTTTCAGTTTGAGTCCGGCATCTACAATGCGGTCAAAAACTTTGGCCAGGTTTTCAATCATATCTTCGAATGTTCGCCCTACAACAATCACATCATCCAGATAAATCAGGCAAATTTCCCACTGAAGACCAGCCATGACGGTCTCCATTAACCTTTGGAAGGTAGCCGGCGCGCAGCTGAGTCCGAATGGCATCTTACGGAACTGGAAAAGGCCTTTGCGCGTAACAAATGCTGTCTTTGGTCGGTCTTCCTCTTTCACGGATACCTGCCAGTATCCCGAACATAAGTCCAGTGTTGAAAACCACGCATTTCCGGAAAGGCTGTCCAGCGAATCATCAATTCGCGGCAATGGGTAGGCGTCTTTTATGGTCAGTCCATTCAATTTCCGGTAGTCAACACAGAAGCGAGTACTGCCATCCTTCTTTCGGACTAAGACAACACCTGCTGCCCAGGGGCTAGAGGAGCGCTCTATAACTCCGTCTTCCAGCATATCATTAACATGATATGTCTATTTCTTCGGCAGCATGGAAAGGGACACGTCGCAAAGGTTCCTTTATGGGATGAGCATTACCAACATCTATCCCATGCTCAACTACGTTTGTGGTACCTAAGTCAGAGCTACTGAGTGCAAACGCATGGGAGTATTGTCGCAAAAAGTCTCTCACTTTGGATATCTGGTCCTCTGTCAGGTCGGTACTACTGCGCTTCAATAGATCTTCAAGTTTTTCATGCAACGCAGAGTTGTTCTTTGTCTTTCTCTCTGCCTGTACTGCGCTGACGGATGACATTTCGGCAATGTGAGTGCCACTGTAAATGGTTCGACTTTCTGGTCCCATGTTCAGCATTCGAATTGGTACCACTCTATCTGCTTTAACTAAGGTCCTCCCTACAAGAGTACCTGTCGACACGAACTTTTCATTTGGTTCCACCAAACCATGAATCATCGAAATGCTTTTGCCCTCCGGCGCACACACTCTCCCCTTTATGATAACCTCTTGATTTGTTTGGAGTGTCACAGTGTTCAACGCAACGATGCGATAACACCCATAACTCCCTTCTTTTATCAGGCTGTATTGTTTCCCCTTAATGCACATTTTCTTCTTTGCCACATCAATTGTGCATCCATTTTCTTCCAGAAAATCACGGCCCATAATTCCATCATTGCTCAGTTCTGCAACGACAGCATCCAGTTTGCAAGAGAATCCCCTTATCTGTGTTGGAAAGGTTCCCTTACCGCTTATCTGGAGACAGTTGCCACCAGCATCCAGTATATCACGACTGAATGAGTCAAGCCTAGGTCGGTCCTCTTCTGGAATTCTACTCATCAGTTCGGTAGATATTAGGCTGACTGTCGCACCTGTGTCAACCAATAGCTTCGCCTTTACGCCACAGACGTCCATTTCAAGGAATAGGCCAGCGTCCATTCCGACTGGACTTGCCCCTATGGAAGCTTTCTCACCGGTTTTGACACTTCTGCTGGAAGGCTTGGCGTCTTTTGCCTTTGCACCATCACTTTCCGGGCGGTCTCTAGTAGAGGACCTAAATGGAGGTTTAGCTTTCCTTTGCGCCTGAAAAGCTCTGCAATCCTTGCGTAAATGTCCCGGCTTACGGCAAAAGTAACATCTTTTCTGTGTCCCCAATGTTTGGTTTGCTTTCCATGGTTGAGATCGCTGTGAACTTTCACTGCGCTCTGCTTTCATTTCTCTGAATTCTCTCTGCATAGACTCAAACTTTGCGCTTAATTCCTCAAGCATCGAGACAGTCTTTCCTTGAACGGATTCAACGGTAGTTGGGCGCGCATAGTTCTTTTTCTCAGCTCTGTTGTAAGCTTCTAATTCGACAGCCAATTGTATAGCGTCATTAAGATGTTTAGGACGCGCCTGCTTTATGCGGATGCGCATTTCCGAGTCGACCAATGCGTCCACAAATTGGTCTTTAGACAGTGTTTCCCGAATCTCAGCTGTCGCAGTGGGGTAGGCTAAGTTGGCAAGTCTGCGAATGGCCTGTCCTAACTCAGGAAGAGATTCTCCAGCTCTTTGCCGCCGCTCACGCATCTGCACCCTGTATAGCTCCGTTTGACTCGGGGGTGCAAATCTGTCTTCAAGGGCTTTAACAAGTGATTGATAATCGGGCTTTGTCCCCTTTGGCATGTTACCTAGCACTCCTTGCGCACTTCCCCGAAGAGAAACTGCTAGATACAGTCCCTTCTGATGATATCTCCATCCACTTATTTCCGCACATGCCTCGAAATGCGCATGATAATCCAACCAAGGTCCACTGCCATCATACGTTGCTGGCTTTATCATTTGTCTTTGCGCTGGAAACTCTGCTAGCGCGTCTTCTCCGCTATAAGGACTTGCAAATCTAACTCTGGATCTCCTTCTTGTTATCCCAGGGAGAAGAGAATCGTCTTGATCGTCTCTGTAAATTTCTTCGGGACGAAGTCTACACAAATGTTTGTCGTTTCGCGCCGCTTCTCTATCGAATCTTGTAGGAGACTCTGAATGAGTGAAATCGCGAGGTCCCTCTCCGGCTTCTCTAAACATGTCCCTGAGAGATTGTCCTGTAGACTTTTCTTCAAGGATAGGTGCGTGCTGGGTTAGCGCACCATCATGTTCATGCGTCGGTGACGTTTCTTCTGTCGGTCGCAACTCTCCGGATATTCGAGATACACCAACACCTGAGTCTCTTACTTTGTCTTTCCTACGCGGGGTCACTGGAGTCGACGACTTGAAACTTTTGTTCCTTAGACTTTCTTCCTTCAGCTCTGCAAGCTTCTCTTCTATCAGAGACAGTTCTTTGTCCACGTCTTCCATCGCTCAGCTATCTCAAGGTATCCCACCGCTGCCACCAAATTTTATGTAACGTGCAAGGGAGGTCACTGCCTGTGAACCCCCGCAGGCTCGTACCCGTGATAAAAACGGATAGCCTTGAGATGCTGCAAATATATACAATGCGCAGTCTTAATCACTTGGTACTGCGTTATATAAGGTCTTTACTGATAGCGAACAAGTGACACTGGCATGGAAGCCCACACACCAGCGCACTTCCACAAGAGACAAGCAGGAATGACCGCACACTCGTCCTTGCGCAGTGACAAGCAGGGATGACCGCACACTTGACACTAATACGGTTCTAGACTAGAGACACTGGCAGGGATGTCCACACACCAATGCTCTACCACAAGATGCAGAGATGGGAGAGGACTATGTAAGTTGCTAGAACTTGTGTCCGATCCCTTTGACATATTGTCAATAAAATATGTTCAAAACAAAAAAAAACAAGATGCAGGCAGGGATGTCCTCACACCTGATCTTGCGCAGCAATAAGCAGGGATGTCCGCACACTTGCTGCTAAGAGATGCCAATTACAGAGCAGGGATGACCACACACTCTGTCAAGCAATAAGCAGGGATGACCACACACTATAAATTTCTTTTCGGTTACATTATTAATTAATGACTATTAAAAAAAAAAAAAAATGATTGGTGTTCCTGGGAGTTGAACCTAGTTCCTTTGGCGTGCAGGGCAGCGGGTATAATGATTCGGCTATCAAGTCAGTATGTATTACTTTGGTAATTTCTATTTATCTTACGTATGTGCTTTAATAATTTAAATATCTTTTGGGGTCTATTTTGCGGCACGCGGTGAACCGGTCCAAGGGTATTTAAACTCGTGTTTTGTGTTCTTTTGTCATTCGACAAGTTAGCCACTACGTATCAGTTAGATACACAGATGAATCTGTCCGATTCAGATAGTGAGCCATCTCCACGTGGTAGCCCGGGGAAAAGTGTTCCTCATGAGCCAAAAAGACGTCCGTCTAACAACAATGAGGCTAGCCGCAACCGTTCGCAAACTTTGAATGAAGACCTTACTAACGCAGAGGCATTCCAATTGTTTTCCCGCAAGTTAGACGTAGCTTTAGCAGAGAACAAAAAGCTGCTTTTGAAGGAGTTAGAAGCAAAAAATTCAACTTGTGTATCTAGAGAAAGTTCGGTTGATTTTAAGTTGGATCATCACAAAGAAAGGTACAACTTCTTAACAGATTTACAAAGTGACTTTGAAAGTATTGATAAATTTATTGACTTTGGTGATAGTTTGAATGCTAAAGAGATAATCAAAAAAGCTGTTTTTCGTATTAACGACCAGAAAAAAGTTATAAGAATTGCAGATAAGTACGGCTGGGATGTGGCTAAAGAGTACAAAGATGACCCAATCACGGAGAGTACAGAGGAAAGTCAACGACTCCGGCAAGCAGAAGCCAGGGCTAAAAGGAAAAGGTTTGACAAAAGAAATTATAATAATCCTTTTCGTACAGATAGCAGCAAATTTTTCCAGCAAAGATTTACTCCTTACACCAGGCAGTTTAGTTCATACGGGAACTTCGGAGGATCACAACCAAGCCCATACAGAATACAACCAGACCAATGCCTGTATTGCAATGGGTTCGGGCACTGGAGTGTCAACTGTCCCCTCAAGAAAAAGAGCCAACCTTTCGCGATCGGCAAGCCAACTTCAACACAAACCGGACCCTCCACAGATAACCAAAGAACCTAAACTGGTAAAAGATATTTTGTCTTGTGAAAAAGAAAATGTTAATTTACAAACGGTTAAAGGGAGATTAGTAAAAAACATTTCTTTTTGGAAAGAACAATTGCATGCTGAACAATATATAGTTGACACTATTCAGTATGGTTATAGTATTCCTTTTGATTGTTTTCCAGAGACGATTATTTTGCATAACAATAAGTCTTCTCTTGATCATGAGGAATTTGTAGACAACGAAATAAGAAGTTTGTTAGGCAATAAAGTCATTGTAAGGTGTAGTACTGTTCCTTCTATAGTTAATCCTTTGTCAGTTTCTATAAATTCTCATGGCAAGAAAAGACTTATTTTGGATCTTAGACATGTTAACAAATGCGTACGAAAAAATAAATTTAAGTTAGAGGGTGTTAGCAGCGCTATCAAACTTTGCAAGAAAAATGACTTTATGTTCAAGTTTGATCTTAAGAGCGGTTATCATCATTTGGACATAAATCCATTGCATTTTCAATTTTTGAGTTTTTGTTGGAAAAGTACCTATTATTCTTTCACGGTACTTCCTTTTGGTTTGAGCTCTGCTCCTTTTATTTTTACACAGCTGCTCAAGCCTTTGTTGAAATATTGGAGAGCAAAAGGTCATAAAATTGTTGTTTATTTAGATGATGGATTTGGGTTAGCAAACGATCTAGAATCATGTAAAGTTATGTCTTCAGCTATTAAAGCAGACTTAATTTCAGCAGGTTTTTTGGTTAACGAGGATAAGAGTATTTGGACTCCCTGTCAATCAATGGAATGGTTGGGGTTTTCTTGGGATACTGTACATGGTATGCTTTTCATACCTCAATCTAAAATTGATAAATTATTAGGCAAAATCAGGGAAGTTATTTCATCCGAGAAAATTACTCCACGTGTTCTAGCTAGCATAGCTGGAAACATAATTTCTTTCCAGCAATCCTTAGGAAATGTATGTTCTATTATGACGAGAGTTATGCATATGGTTATTGCCAATTCAGTTTCTTGGGATCATTGTATTGTTCTTTCAGATGAAATTGTGACTGAACTTAATTTCTGGTTGCGCAATTTACAATGTTTGCCATCTAAATGTTTTCTTAAAGGCAGTTTCATTCCTCAAAGGATCGTTTTTACGGATGCAAGCAAGCATGCAGCGGCTGGTTACATTGTGGAACTTGCAGATAGTGTAGTGCATAAAATGTGGACTTCTGTGGAAGCTCTAAAGAGTTCTACCTGGAGGGAGATGAAAGCAGTAGAGACAACTTTAATATCTTCTACAGATAAGATTAGCAACAGAACTGTAAAACTTTATACTGACAATCAAAATGTAGTTAAGATAGTTAATTCTGGTAGCATGAAAAAAGAGCTCCATGATATTGCACTTAATATTTATGCTTTTTGTATTCAGAATCAAGTAACATTAGAAGTTGAGTGGATTCCTAGAGAGGAAAATAGTGTAGCAGATTGTTATAGCAAAGTTTATGATTTTGATGACTGGTCTGTTTCTGATATTATATTTCAATTTTTCAGTAAAAAATGGGGGCCCTATGATGTAGATCTTTTTGCAGATTGTAACAATTTCAAGGTAAAAAAGTTTTTTAGTAAATTCTGGACGCCAGGGAGTTCTGGGGTCGATGCATTTGGTTTCAATTGGAAAAAATTTAACTCTTGGATCGTTCCTCCAGTTTCTCTTATTCCAGATGTTATTAATCATTTAGGTTTGTGTAAAGCGCATGGTACACTTGTTGTGCCAAAATGGACATCCTCACTTTTTTGGTCCATGTTGGTAAATTCAGATGGAAAATTCAAAAATTTTGTGATTGACTATATTGAATATGACAAACCAAGAAATTTTTTCATTGCAGGGTCTTACAAAGAAAGTGTTTTCGCTGGAGTAAAATTTTTCTCCAATGTAATAGTACTCCTTGTTAATTTTGATATTTAGACTTTTTCAGGTGCATTTGTGTTATGACATTTAGATGGAATTCTGACTGGGAGTCAGAACTGAGACTTTGTATTGTAAGGCTGAGTATTTGATTTGTGTTATGACAGGCTGAGAGCCTAATATTTGTAATGAATGGCTGAGAGCCCATGTGTATGATTGGCTGAGAGCCTTTGTGTATGATTGGCTGAGAGCCGGATATTTGTATTTGATTGGCTGAGAGCCTTATTTGTGTATTACTGGCTGAGAGTCAGAATTAGTTGTTTAGCAGGCTGAGAGCCTGATGAATGATTTCAATGGCTTGAGAACCAAAATTAAATTTAACTAGTTAAGGCTTAGTTAAGCCAGGATTTAAAAGTGTCTGCAATTGCTTACTATTTAAATTCAACTGTTTCTTAAAATATTAAATCTTTATATGTTAACGTTTTGTTTGTTTATGATTTCAGTTCTTCAACCATTCACATTGGGCAGAATTGAGAACTCATGAAGAGGGGGACATTGCTAAGCTGGCTGGGAATATACCGGACTTAATTGAGGCTTCAAAATCAGAGTCTACTTTACGTAAATACAAGACATATTTTTCTAAATTTGATCATTGGTGTTCATTTCACAAATTATCTTCTTTACCAGCATCACCTGCAACAGTGTCTCTCTTCATTTCTCATCTTGTTCAGAGTAAATCAACATCTTCAGTGTTAACCTCTCATTTTTACGCTGTGCAATGGTATCATGAGAAAAATTTGTTTCCAAATCCGTGTTCTGACAAACTTGTGAAAATGACTTTTGAGGGAGCGTTGCGCACTCTTACAAAATCTTCAGTGAACAAGAAACAACCGATTACATCTAATATTATTTCCAAAGTCTTTAATTTAAGAAGTAACTTGTCAGATTTATCTGATTTGCGTACTAGATTACTCTTTGTTCTTGGATATGCAGGATTTTTCAGGGCCAGAGAGCTGTGCAACATCAAGAGATCGGATATTACTTTTTGTGATACTCACGTGGAAATTGAACTTAGAAGCTCTAAGACAGACATATACAGAAGGGGTAACATTGTGCACATTGCAAAACTCGACTCTGATTTGTGTCCCGTTCAATGTCTTATTGATTATCTTAAATTAGCTGGTGTTCAAAACGATTCTAATGAATTTATATTTAGGTCATTAAGATATTTCAAAAAATGTAATTCTTATAGGCTTGCAAAAAGTAACAAAGCTATATCTTATACTTGTGTCAGAGAACTTATTTTGAAGGCATTGAAAGATGTTGGAGAGGACGCTTCAAAGTTTGGTGTGCACTCACTTAGATCCGGAGGTGCTTCAGCCGCAGTCAATCTAGATATTCCCGATAGACTCTTTAAGGCTCATGGACGGTGGAAAAGTGAAACGGCAAAGGACGGTTATATTAAGGATAGTACAGAAAAGGTTCTATTTGTGTCAAAAAATTTGGGATTGTAATTAAATAATTTTTTCTTTTCATTTTCCCTCAGACGTTTTTTATTCGAATTTTGGCTAACATTGTCGCCTCCTCTATATTTGTGTTTGAGTTTTTGTTTATGTAAAGAGAATATGAAATACTTTATGTTCGTCTGAGCGAAGCGAAAGAGAACATAAATAAATTTCTTTTCGGTTACATTATTAATTAATGACTATTAAAAAAAAAAATGATTGGTGTTCCTGGGAGTTGAACCTGGTTCCTTTGGCGTGCAGGGCAGCGGGTATAATGATTCGGCTATCAAGTCAGTATGTATTACTTTGGTAATTTCTATTTATCTTACGTATGTGCTTTAATAATTTAAATATCTTTTGGGGTCTATTTTGCGGCACGCGGTGAACCGGTCCAAGGGTATTTAAACTCGTGTTTTGTGTTCTTTTGTCATTCGACAAGTTAGCCACGACGTATCAGTTTTCCAAACTCTTTTACTTTTATTTAATGAAATAGAAATCTTTTGCAGATTGATGCTTAGTTTCTTTGAAGTAGATTCCATTCCTTGTGTGGAGATGCATGTCGCAGTTTGCCTGGACTAATCCTGTGTTACCTTGGTGTTTTATCTTCCTTCCCGGGCTGTATGGACGCACTTAAGGACGCGTTTACATTTGTACAAATCAGTTTATTAAATTTTGGCTAACATTGTCGCCTCCTCTATATTTGTGTTTGAGTTTTTGTTTATGTAAAGAGAATATGAAATACTTTATGTTCGTCTGAGCGAAGCGAAAGAGAACATAATATCACTTATCACAGTACAATATAAGCAGGGAAGTCCGCACACTTATATGCACTAAGAAGATTTGTCGAGTTTTACCTCTAGAACCTTTTTTTTTCGTAGACACGCCAGTAAAAATCCTTATATCTCAAGTACCATCTATGATACACAGTGATTAAATATATACAAACTAATTAAAATTTCAATCAAGCTTCCAATTAACAAACCTTTAGTATCCCAACTAAAGAAACATACAAAGATTATTATTGATCACTTTAATTCAAATTCAACACTAATTAAGTATTTATTTTCGATGTATATAATAAGTAATTAACAATAACAAGGGCGATAACTTTCGCTATAATGAAATATAGAAAAACAGCTTTCTGCTTCAGTAATATCGGCAACACCGTTCAAAGAAATCAAAAACCGATACACAGAATTATGTATCTTTGTGTAGTCTACTTGTGTGCCAAGTTATATTGAAATCAGACCAAAACTGTAGGAGGAGTAGCATTTTGAAAAATTGTTTACAGACAGACAGACAGACAGACGGACGGACGACGGACGCATTACTATCGCATAAGCTCTTCTGGTCTCTGACCAGTAGAGCTAAAAATCGAAAACTTTAATACTTAGAAAAACTTTATCGAAAACTAGGACACTTCCAAAAACTTTATTGTAAACTTTGATACTTCGAAAAACTTTATTAAAAACTTTGACACTTTGAAAAACTTTGACGAAAACTTTGACACTTTGAAAAACTTTGGCGAAAACTTTGACACTTTGAAAAACTTTGACGAAAACTTTGACACTTTGAAAAACTTTGACGAAAACTTTGACACTTTGAAAAACTTTGGCGAAAACTTTCACACTTTGAAAAACTTTGACACTTTGATTTACTATAGTTAACTATAGTATTTTTTGTTAGGGATATGGCACAGGAATTACGGAGAAATTAACAAGATTCACTTTTAAAGTGTTTATCACAGGGAAAACAATTGGAAATGGAAATATTTAGTAACAACCTTAAATTCATACAGAAGTACAGAATGTACGTATATTGTGAGTGTACATCTCACCATAACCATAATTTGAGAATTGCTCATATTAAGAATGGTCAGATCAATCTCTTATCTAGGGTAATGTAAAAGTTAAGCTTAAAATAAAAAAGGTAAATTATTATTATTTCACCCTCCCCAATAACTTAAAAACACAAACCGATCGACAGACAGCAGCAAAGCATTACCCCCGCCCTGCTTTTCGAAGGGGAACATAAAAATTAAGACAATCATATGACGTCACTATGTTTGACATCTTAATCTGACAGAAGAAATGTACAGAAGGAATAGCGATTTCATAAAAAAATATGTCAAAAAATAATCGACGGTCAAATGCATGTAGATGGCATAGTATACAATTATGGACTGTTAAGAAGGGAGACATCACCAGTTATCAGGTCTGAGTAGGGTTGTCACCCTCGGGCGCTCAGACCTGATAATTGGTGATGTCTCCCTTCTAAGCAGTCAATAGTAGTTTTATTATCCTGAAGAATCTATGTTATGAATTAGATAGAATAGAAAATAGTCATCAAACCTCGTGTGTCCTCCTACTCTGCTCTGATTCCATATTTTCAAAATATGTCAACAGACAACTTTGACGTCATCGTTAGAATTTATTGTTTACCGATCCCGCATATTTAGTAGAATGTATAATTATAAACAAGTGTAGCTTTTTAAAAAAGCTTACCGTCTTTAGCAACAACCTTAAACAGTATATAAAATGATCTATACCTATCAGACCGTATTATTCTTTTGA